CTTCTTACGTCTTCCTTGTTCTCACACATGTTTTTAAAGTTTATAACAAACGGTATGAAAATATATGTAGGAAATTGTATAAATGTATAAAATAACAAAAAGAATAGTAATAAGTATAAATCATATCGTTGTTAAGATATACAAACATTACAATTTTTCATTAGCTATATAAAATATTATATGGCATTATGACTGCAAAATTTTGTTGTCTATTTTTAATCTGCTCGAAAAATTTATACGAAATCAACGCAGTTGTTTAAAGCAATTTAAATCGAAATGCAAAGTGTACTCAAAAATTAATATAATACTTTTACAATGTATTATATAAATCCGTCTTAATTATATTAGTAAGTTCTGATTCATAACTTTTTACATTTTAGTTTTATTTAAATATTTAAAAATAAACTTACAACAAAGAAATCAAGTTCATTCAACTAAAAGATAATTTTCTAATAATGCATCTTTGGTATAGACCATTATTATATTTGTATACATTTACCTACCGAGTAAATTATACACATTTTCTTCGTAATTCAATAGTGATAACAAAAGAATCAGCTTATCTTACAATCTAATTGCAAGATAACATGAATATACAATACAACATTGTATTATCATCTGTGACAATACATGTATTTTTGCGCGCGCATTTATATGTTGACATTGTAGCCTTGTTTTCACAAATAAACTACTTCTATAAGAGTGTTCTTTATAAATTGAACTGACTAGAATGACTATTGTACATGAGGATAACAGAAATAAACAACAATGATACATTAATACAAATTTTCTTAACAAACCCAAAACGTTATCACCTCCCTTTATAAAAGATATTAAAATATGAATAAATTTCATCGGGATCTTAAATATTACTTAATATGAAATTACCGAATTTTTACATACAAATAATGTAATTAATTTCACTTATCTAGAAATCTATTTATCCATGTAAGATATACAGATAGAATTTGAGCGTGAAATAGTCTTCGCAATTAAAATGTAGCGTAATGATACGTAAGTGCTACAATTTTATGATAAACAACGCGATTTTGCGTGACGGGACAAATTTCTACGTAGACAATATTCGGTGAAGGTATCACTACCGAGATGTTGCGGTATGTAACGAGCAATCTGATAGTCGCGATATTTCACGAGCAAAGAAATGTAATATAATGATATGCAGAGAGAAATAATGTTGCCACAAACTATATTAATAAAGGTCACGACGGAAATAAAATGTATCTACAACTATGTATATAGACTACTTATAATTTACTATTTTCTGGTAAAGATACCTTACGACAATCTTATTATTTGCATATCCTGCGTCAAAGGAAGTACAACTATCATTCGCTAATCACATTCAACGATTTCAGTAAAAATATAGCCTTCCAGAGGAAGTGAATTGTAAGGAGATAAAAGATACATGTACTTTGTTGTAACGTGTTTCACAATACGTTATATAATGTAATCGCGCGAATGAACAAATTATTAATAGTTCGATATCCATTGCATTTATACGTATGAAATGGAATTGAATAGATTTTCCATGTGGATCGGTGAACAGAAACGATTGTTTCAACGATCGAGAAACGGTTCTTACGAATTTCGCAATGCGGTCGAGAGTTCGCCAAACTAAACGGAATGACAGTCACTCGCGAAATTCCCTTAACCTTTGAAAGTTGGCATTTCGAATAGAGTTCATTGAAATTAGTGAAAACAGGGTTAATTGAAATTTTTCCAAAATAACTCTTGTCGACAATTTCTTTGCGAATGATATATTTAACAAATTATAATAATGTTTAATATGATCGATAATAACGTATAAATTGCGATACGTATGTATGTTTGTACAATAAACGGATAATTAATGGAAAAAGAACGAGCAAAGAATGTTAATGGAAATGGAGTAATTAATTTTCAATTGAACATTCTTCAATGATGCGCAGTTCGTGTACAAACATTATGACTGTACACGTGCGAACATTACGAAATTTTCCAGGAACAGGGCACTCAATCATTTATAACGTTACTGATATGGTAAAAGTGAAAACCTGAAACAGCTGACCTCGCGCGATTTAAAGTAGAGTGAAATGAACAGAGAACGACAGTAGAGTACAGGGACCATTATTCAGACAGATTTCAGCAACGCTCATTAACAGCAATACTGCCAGACCGTTTAAATGCCACTAAGAAAAAAACAAATTCGCGTCAATGATCTTTTAGGCAGTTGAAACATTTTCCCATTCGTAAGGTTCATTGAATCTTATATATTTAGTTTAGAAGAAAGTATGCGATGCATGTTTAAAATAACACGTATTTACATGTGCATACTATATCGAAATTTTAATGTTTCCTTTCGCTACGCATCTATCAAGCGCTATAAACGCTGACACATATTCAAATCAGGAAAGTTCAAATTACTGCGTCGTTTCAAATTACAAATTCTTTTCGATGATTATAATCTCGTAAAAAATTAGCGGAACGACGTAAATAATTGAAATTATCCGAACAATATCTTTTTATTTGAAAAACGATTGAACGGCATCGTAATATAAGCATGAAAATATTAAGATAGAAAAATAATTTCGTTACGGTCCATGATAGTTTACAGAATCATAATATTCCATGAAAGATAAGCGTTGATAGCTTGCGATTAAAAAGACAGCTGTTAAAATAATTCCCGTCACCAACTTAACGTTCAGTTAAACGAAAAATAATTTCTCGGTACAGTATAAAAAAAAAAGAAAATTCAGTATTTTTACAGTTTAATGAAATTTCAACAGTCTTAGAAGAGAAAAGCTTATTCTAATGCGATAAACACCTAAAGTAACTGTGCAAAGTTTTTCAATATATAAAAAGAGCCGAATAAAGCGAAGATCAGTTAATTCAGATCATCCGTAACGCGTGTCAACGGAAAGCAACATCCAACATTAAAAATGAAATCGCTTGAAACGTGCAAAAGCCACGGTATCGTGTCGGCCAGCGTCAACACAACTAAACTATAAGGATTTACGCAGTTCCACGGCACGTTGTGCGCTGTGCAACGGCGTCTTGTGTCGCGGTCGTCACGTGTGTTACAGTAGCGAAGGTAGGGTATGTGGAATAGCGCTCAAGCGCGCACATACGTCAGTAGCACGGTAAGAGACACGACGTTAGCTGGACATCGACTGGTGTAGTCGACGAAAAAAAGGGAGAAAAAAAAAGGATCCTGTGATTCAGAAGAAGGTATACACGAAATCGACAAGGGCGAACGTGTAATAGCGCAAGGGTGTACCATAATCTGTCTCTATCTTTTCCTCGGTGACTACACATCGTTCCCTCTCTCTTCCCCAGTAATTCGTTCCCTCTCCGTTTCGCAACGTTTTAATCGTTCGTTCTTTCTCAGTCGTTGCCACAGTGTTTTAGCCTGTCCTTTCGTGTATA